ACCAAAGGAAATTTCAGCACTGGGGCTTAAGTTTTTGCCCTTGACTTTCAAGTTGTTTTCCGTTCCTACCCTAGTTCGTGTTTCTCCTTCTTCCTACAATATATTCGGTCAGTATTGTATTGTGATCTGATCGTCATACGGAGACTGGAGAGGGGGGGTGGTGGTGGCGGAAGGAGGAGGCCCTCTGGCTTTCCTTGATGGGTGAAATGGAAAATCCACAACGGATTCCCACCCTCCCTCCCTTCCCGATCTCTGAACAGGTCCTTTACACATCGAGATCGACCCTGTTCCTCCTCTCTACTTCCTTCTAAATTGGCGTCGTTCATTGCAGGGCTATTTCAACATCGCCATGGAAACGCAAACCAACCCTCGTTTTCCCAACATGAAGCCCTAGTGGGGGGGAAATCCATGCTTCACCATGATTAGTAGGAGGGAAATAAATGCTCCATCCGCCGATTCTGATGTGGATAGGAAAAAGCAGGATGGGTCGAATGTAATAATAAAGGGAACAACCGAGAGGATCTTCTTCTCTTGCCCTTTCCCATGGGGAAGGGTAAGGAGGTAAGAGTAAATGGAGGGCAGAGGAGAGAGGCCAAACACAATGAAGATCCAGTCATCCTCTATCAATAACCTCCGACCTTCATGGAGATGAATGAATGGAGACTAAAAAAAAAAAAACACGTCCAAAACGAACCGGACCCTGAATGATTCACCTTTTAGAGCCTTTGTGTCCTTGGGGACAGATCGATATACCAACACGACTGCGCGCTGCGGAACGGATTCTCAGAAACGTGGACAATAATTGTTCCTCATTTGTGAATTTATCTTCCGAAGCAAACTTTAACCTATGAATACTCTCAAGATCACTATTTCACCATTGACCTCTTCCTTCTCTCCATTCTTTTAAAAATGTAAACATCCCGCACATATGAACAGTTTATGAACAGTAACTTGGTTTGGTTATCACCAAACTTTTTACTTCAACTTATAAATGGATTTCATATGCTCAATAGACCTTAGAGTGCCAAATGGCCCCTAGAGTCTATTTGAAATAGCTACAAAAGGAATGGAACGTTTAGCTAATAATTTTTCTAGTTGCATGCCTGATGATACTGGCCTCATTTTGAATTGCCATCCTGGACCACCTGACGTTTAGAACTTGTTTAAGAAAGACCTACTAATACAGGTATATGGGGCAACTTATACTTACGTCATTAGCTTTTAAGTTTCGCAGCGGCGAGGAACAGGCCCCTGATGTAGTTAAAAGTTATTAGGCAGCAAAAGATAAACGATCTCTCTAAAATGACTGGCATCAACAATCCCAAAAGACCGATACTTACAAGTTCTGCGGATACATTTGCATTCAGCTACACAGTACCATGTAATAAAAGCATATAATAAAAAAAATTCGGTATCTACCAATAACTAAGAGACGCAACTTCCCAGTCCGGCGCCATCTGTGGGTCGCTAACTTGTTTTATTCACTTGAGTATCTTGGAGATGATTGGTAAAAAAAAAAAAAACATTTAGATTTTCAATCAATCGCTACAAGGAACAAATTTTTGTGAAACCTTTACCATTCCGAGTCGGTCGAAAATCATAGGTGCGCTCACTTCATGAAAGAGTCTCATAGCCTTTCCTGGTCCGTATTTCCTGACAATTTCATTCCCAGCCAAGTCCGATTTAAATACCCCCGCTTTGGACGCTCTCACCATATACCATTGGAATTAGTTTCGTCTCTCTACTACGATGTTACTGGAAACAAAGCACATTTCCTACACTTTCTAAACCCTCCTCTTCCTGTCAGCATTGGACCCACCAGAGAAAAAATCGAATATTGGGGCTCCCCCGACAGTAGACCAAAAGAGGTTAATAGAGCATTTGAAAGAGCAGTGGATGAGGCTTTGAATATAGGATGGCATGTCGAGTCCGTCGAGTCGGTATTAGGCAAATGGCCTGCTGATAAAAAGAGTGCCGTTCATCATGACAGGTCCACACACAAGTTAACACGTTTCACATTTTCCGGTGGGTGAGTCGTGAGCCCAAAGTACGGTTTCTCCGTAACAGTAACAATTTTCAAATTGTTGGTGACAGAATGTGACAGTGTCAGGTGACACGTTTTCGTGAATCCCATATGCAGGGTTCACACTAGTTTTTTTTTTAATATTGAGTCCTGGAGCCTAGCTTCATTCAGTTCATTGGGAACATGTTCAGGTGGTTGTCGATGAGTCCCACGGACTTAGATGTTTTGCAAATATGAGTCCCTCCAAGAAAATATGAGTCAGGCACTCGCTATAGCGAGTTAACGTGAACCCTGCATATGTCTGTCGCCACCAGCATTGACCAGACTTCATATCGGCAGGATAATTTGAGTCGGTCGGTTAGGTAATGTGTCATACCCAATACTGTATTACTCACATCCGTAGTCTAATACTGTGGATACAAAAATTTTAAAAAGTAACTCTTTCTAAAAGGGAACGCTTCACTTTAAATTGCCATAGGGCAGCGGGTTCTCAACCTGTGTGCCGCGGCACCCAGGGGTGTCGCGAGAAGCTGGAAAGGGAGCCGTGGGTGTTGGGAGAATTTTATTCTTCCCTGTCATTAAATTAGTGCAAGAGAGCCATACGTCTACGTGTATTTTACTTAACCTTTTCGAGGTCGGGTTTTTTTAATTGAAAAACAGCTCCCAGGTCGGGTTATGCAAAATAATATAAGAAAAGAAGAAAACAAATGGTAGAATCAACCAATATCAACCAATGAAACGTTATGCTGAATAATAAAAATTTTTTCTGTTGAATAGGAGAGAGGCGGGAATTGTTCAAACCTTAAGTGTCAAGTAATTGCGCCGGAACCTTTTGGATCCAATGCTGCAGAAGCAAATAGTTGAGCCGTGACCGTGAAAGGGTTAACTGGTGTAATCGAGAAGCACTATACGGAGCGGGTAGGAAACCTCTTCTGAAGAACCGAATCTACAGGGTGTTCAAAAGTTTCTGACTCACCCTCGCAAAATACGGCTAAAATCAATGTTAGCCACTGTGAAAACATCCTGCTTATATACATGAGCTACATGAAGATCCGTGTGAACTACTCAGACCAGGAAAAGGATGTACTGATGTAGGACGGAGCCCTATGCCGCACGGCTGGCTTCACGTTCCGCGTCATCGAAAAGACTATGGTACAGATCTATAAGAAGTTACCAAAGAACTGTCTGGACCTCAGCACCTGGAATTCCTATGGCACAGGTTCCAGCAGAGTCGTCTGAGTCAGTCCCACTCCATAAATCGGGTGCCAGTCATTACCGGGGTTCTCAGTGGAGTGAGAAACCAACGCGACAATATCATCCGTCGGTCGGTTGAGAAATTCGGGAAGCTGATCCGAGGTTCCTGCAGGTACGCGGAAGCCATATCAAGTATTCAGTAGGGCTTGGTACCTAGGGCATTCTTGGTAATGTAGAATGTAATGAAATCAATATATTACCGTTAATATCGTCTCCATCTTTATTTCAGTGGGTCAGAAACTTTCGGAACAACCTGTAAAGTGCGAAACTTCTGACTTCAGCCTACTCTCTTAATAATAGTGTACATCAAAGGTACTCAATACGAGTCAATTTGGATCAAAATTGGCTCATATTGCGTATTCCTGGTACACACTTTCATTAAGAGAGCATCTATCAAGGAGGAATGTCAATATTAATATTGTTGCTGCTGATAAGATGGATATTGCTTTTTGCTACCAGATATTTGTCTAACTTCTCTTATTCTGGGCATTAAGAAAGAAAAAAAAAAACAAGTTCAAGTCCAGTTTAAGCATCACAAATGAACTGCGTGAAGTCACCTCAAACTTTGAGGCGCAACTTGATTTTCTGGGTAACCAAAGGCAGGCGCAGATATTGCGTTGAAGGGGAAAAAAAATCAACGAGTTCAATAATAATTTCCTGAAATGATGGTTTTGCCAATGACATTTCAAAATAAACCAGCCATGATAAAATAAACCAGGTCCTGGATAGGCATAAATTATCGTGCATGAAGGTTCATGAATGTGCAGGAGTGTTGCTGGCATCTTGCTGTCTGAAAAGGGTGCCGTTGCGAAGAGGAGGTTGAGAAACGCTGCCATTAAGGATTAGCTTGTCTTCAGATAGGTTTAGAAAACAACGACTCTTTATTTTAACTGATTCATGTCCGTGAAAATGTCATAAATAATTTGTCATTTGAGCACTGATACTAGGCTTGCTAGGAATCAGTAAAAATTCGTAATTATTCCTGACAAGTTATTGGGGAATCCATTCTTCGGTACAGTAGTGCTGTGAATTCGAATGAGAAAGCTCAGAACGTTCATGCGAGGAAAAATAAGCCTCCTCCACGAAGAAAAGAATTCATTGAACTCGAACTGAAATGGCTGAATAATGCATAATATTATTGGAATCCAATCGAGGGGTTTTTTTCCTTTTCCATCCCCATTCCTCTCCTCCTTTCTTCAGGGCTGTCGTCCCCCCATTCATGTTTTCCGTTCCGGAATTGAATTATATGAATTCTCTCAACCCATCTCATCGTTCCACTTTCCTCTTCCCCGTCTTCTTACGGAAAGCCGGCGTCGGCTAATGCACCAGACGGATTAATTCCTAGTCTGGGAATAAAGATCCATGTCGGTCCAGGGAAAGACACAGAACTCTCAAGACCATCATGCATCTCCCTCCAGAGAATGCAGAAAACAAGAAAAATGGCACAAGCCGGTGAAAGATGGTTGAAAGCAAAAGGGAGCGATGGCAGCGAGGAAGGGGAAATGTTTCTCATCTGCTTCCCTTCCCCCCCCCCCCCCCCTCTTTTTTCCCCCTTAAATGAAGGAGGGGGGGGGGGGGGGGGGGGGGGCGGTCCCCCCCCCCCCCCCCCCCCCCCCCCCCTTCTTTTTTCCCCTTGAATGGAAGGAGGGTGGTGTGAGGGGGGGAGGAACGGGAAGGGAAATGCTATCGATCAATCATGGAGAGTCTGGGCTGAGAGACTAACCTTGAGATCTCGGTGGACGACTCCATTCGTGTGACAATGATGGACTCCTTCCAGGATCTGCTGAATGCAATGCGAGGCATCGGCTTCGCTGTAGAATTCCCTCGCCACGATGTCCTCGAACAATTCTCCTCCCGTCACCCTTCATAGTCAGATTAAAACATGCAACAAATAAGCAACAAATGACTGGCGTTGGGGGGGCGTGGCACCACTTCTGCGTGATTCCATGAAGCCACTATGTTACAGTATCCCACCCCCCTCCGAGTCCAAAAATGGGTTGTACCTTCGGCACAGACACCAGTTGCTACTGGTGTCTAGGGGACTGCATTTCAATACCACAAAATTATGACTCCATGCAATAGCAAATGAGAAGAGGCGCTGCAGCTGACGTCACGAATTACGTAGAAACAATTTAAATTTACTACGCACACCATAAAACTTCAAGTAGTACGAGACATTATATCCCTTCCTTTGAATAAAAAAAAGTGCTTGGGGCCCTACTTCCTTAACATTCCAGATTTTTCATTTTTTCAAATAACTTTTTCATATAACTCTATAGTAAAGAATATTGGTGTTTTCCCCCACAGCCTTGTCTGCAGCCGCATTGCATGTAACCCACTCATGAGCGCGTAATCACGAGACTTCGTCTACAAGTGACGTCTACAAGGGGCGCGCAATCCGATTGGTCCCCTCTGAAATTGGGAGGCGAAAAGTAACCGGACCGCTCGTCTCTGCTTGTCACTCCAGCATGCCATGAGGTCGATTTTCTCTCTCTGGTAGCGGCTTACATTCTGCGTCCAAGTTGGTTGCAACCAAAATGAGGATAGCAAATAAGGGCTTACTCTAAGCTCCATAATCCAAGCACGTCGCAAAATCTAAGAGCCAAGGTTCGAGTACGCTTTAATCTATAGCCGTTACGGGTAAATAAGCAAAATAAAACACCAAGGCAAAGAGATCAGATAAGATCAAATTTCTCGCAGCGCCAGTTTTTTGCCAACGGGAATTTAATATGAACTCTCAGAGAGAATGAAAGAGATGATAGCTTTGAGATACCAGAGAACTATTAAACGTTCCATGCAGAGAATGAGCCTCATATGGGCCTAATTTTGTTATATTGAGAAGGACGACGGGAAAACGACAATTTATTCAGGGCACCGACTCTATAGGAAATCCACTCAGACAGGCGGAAACATTTGGAGGCCATCCAATCGTCGAATGGATTATGAAGCGCAATGCGCTAGAGCCGCCAAGTCAATCCTTCGGTATTCAGGCGTGTAGGAGTGCTCATGAAGTTGGTACAGGGAATTCTTCCCCCAGTTGAAACAAACCAATACCTTGTTTTGCACACGCAGGTGTTCCTTCAAAGCGATGCAATCCCACACGATACGGCCATACACTATCGAATCGCAAGATATTTTCATCCGATTATGCTTACCTCGCGCTACGACTCCCCGTTGTCGTTCTATTTTCGCCGTGGCCTTGTACGTACTCCTAAGGAGTTGCCAATAGAGCTAGTCTGCCACTTCTTTCTCGGTTGTTCATCCATGCATGCTCATCAAATATCGATCTCATTCCACACATCAATTCAATCTCCTTGTAATTCAAAGGCATGTTCTCCACCACAATCCCGAGGGCAACGTGCCAAGGGAAACCCATATCCCCTCTAAGCGAAACCAGAAGGAAAAGTTGGTTTCATATTAGATGGGTGAATAGATGCTTAACCCTAGAACTACCTTCTGAGCCCAATGGGCCCTGATGCAAAATTTAACCAGTTCTGTTAACTGCGTCGAAAACTTGTCGAGTTCGGTATTCGGTCTCGGTGACTTTTTATGAATATATGCGATCAATTAATTCACCATATTCTTTTCTTTGCGTTTCAGTATAAAATTGGATACTCAATAGGTAAGACGTTAAAAAAATCTAGCGGGTAGTTCCAGTGTTAAGAGAATCTGCATAAAACCTTGAAAACTATGATGGGTTGAACGATGAAATTTGGTATGATCTGATACCTGAACTAACTTTAACCGGCAAGTATGAGCTTCGTTTCAAAAGCGTGCATTAGTTAAGTTAAAAATTAGGTAGAGTTATTTTCCAGCACGGCCTGTGGAAACGATGGCGTGTGCAACCTCGAGCATTCACGTTCCTACCTTCCAGTACTCGGAAATTAACGCCTGACCCATGACTGCGATATTGGTCGGTACTCTTTTCATTCATTAAGTCCACTTTACTTTCATACACCATTAATTTCCCAAGAGGATTCCTAATGGGGTTTTCATATAGTTCTGATGGGATCAGAGCGGCATAGGAGACACCTCCTATATAAGCCATTTTGGTGTCACCTCTTGGTAGACCAGTCATTGTTAGAAGACAAAAGCGATCCCGGTAGTTTCATGACGTCAGCACGTCAGCGAAAAGGCATGCTACGCCAGCCCTTTTGTCCTCGGAAAAAAAAAACATCTTCGTTCGAGCAGTGTATAGCGGAGACCATATTGAGCCCAGTCCCCCTTTCAAGTTCTTCCCTACTCATGAGCAGTGAAGAATCACTTACAGAGGTTTAAAACATTTCACATCTAGGAAGATAGGGTCCCTTTCTCTCGTGCCTTGAATGGTCGATGCCATCTTTCTCCACACGTTCTACCAGCTGGGTAGGCCGGTAGGTTCGTCAGCTATCGAAATGACGCCACGAATATGAATGGTGTCAGTCAGAATTGTCAGAAACGTAGCTTAATGGGGAATCTCAAAGTGGCTCTATGTCACATTGATCCATGACGGCGACACTACGATGGTGCAAGAAGCACATCCCGCTACAGCTACATCGTCTTAGTGGAATGCGGTTGGGGAAAACGGTAAAACTACATATGAAGGTGTGTGCGTTTGATTCAACCTCCATCAGTTTGAGTTCTCTGTTTTACCATACGCCTTTCACCAAGTGCAACTCGAATAATGAAGGCAAAAAAACGGATTGGCGTAGCCCAAGAACAGGTCTTTCGCAATGCAGGTCCCGTCCAAGAGACGAAATTCTGAGTGACGCGCAATCTGGTAGGCGTGGTCGAAACGGTCGACTGCGCTGGCACAAGCATGAGAGCGCAATAAACTGCGCTGACACTAGCAGGAGAACGCAATCTGATTGATCGGTGTAGGACCAACCAGATCGGGTGGCTTCGCTGACGTAACTCCAGCAATCCAGGAAATCCGCATCTGACGCTTCCCTCATTTTCTCCGACCCACAATGACACCGAACATCAGAACATCAGTAATTTTTCACGTATTGCTTGGGCATCTCAAAGTTTCAGAGGTTGTAATGGCGCTGGTGCGTAATTACATTTTCTAACGTGAACTAAGGTAAAACCCCAATATATCATGAAATTTGAATATAAAAAATAGCGATCGTGTTTCATTTGACATTTGACAAGAGAAAGCAGGCAAATTCTTCAGGAAAACTTCCCTTTCTGATAATCCAACCGCTTGCACATACAAATAAGCGGAGAGGGGGGAAGGTAATGGAGAAGTGCTAAATATTACATGGATGAGAGTGGTGGGGAGAGGGGGGGGGGGAGAGCGAGAGTAACAGACAGTGAAATCGATGGATAGGAGAGAAAGAAAGAAAAGAGGAAATGGGGGGCAGGAGATGATTAGGAAGGAATTTGATCATCATGACCTCCTTTCCTGTGATTCAAACCACCCCCCCCCCCCCCCCACCAACGTTATCAGAGGAGAACGGGAATGAGAGCTCTTATCTGAGGGCCAGGTGTATCATGGAAAGGAGGGAAGGAAATCCTCATTCGTTTCCCTCTAGGGTCAATACAGGGTGCCCCAGGGAAAAAAGAGAATTCTATTCCATTACGGGAAAGCATAATTGAAAAAGAAAAATTATTCAATTATACCAAATTACACGATGATTGCAGAGCAGGGCAAATTCGCCCAACATGCGGGAAATGATTCTGTACTACATACAACGTTAATGCAATAATCCAAATTAGCTTGACTCCCGAGTCAGATAGCTTTTTTTCTGACTTGGTTAGAGAAAGAAAGAAAGAAATTTTTTAGAGGCTACTTTCATGCAATCTCCTCTGATAACGTTGGTGGGGGGGGGGGGGGGGGCGCTATCCTTTCGAGACCTTATCCCGACTATTAGTCTTCCATTCTTCCACTGCTGGCACGACTTTTGGTAAGAATTAGAGAAGAAGCCAAAATCGATAGCCACTACCACACAACCAGCTGCGACGGAAAAAAAGTCTAAGCCAGCTGGGTGAAACTCGGTCTCGCCCTCCTTGAAGCGTCTTCTCAGACGAAATGGGAAATATTTCAGGATATGGTAAAGGAAACTGGACGAAGTGGAACGTACGAGAATCCTTCCATCTAGTCACCGTGCTTTTCTATCACCGGTTGCAAATATCAGGGTTCTTTAAATACGTTTTGAATGAAAATACGCTGAAGCTTGAAGCAGGCGTGTCCGCATACAGACAACCGTGGCGGCGAATGTAAGGAGGTTCTTTTTTTTTATCCACGGCAAGGAGCTCGCTAAGAAAAAAAAACATAAAAAATAAGCGTAACACGATCATAATGGGAGCTTTCATTCACTCAGCTTAGTTATAAGTTCCGTTTCCGTAAAGATGGGAAGGAGTGGCAAGGACTAGCAACTCTGCTGATGACGCATCTGGGAATGGTCTTTTCGCATCATAAGGACAGACTCAATCTCAAGGCTTCTCTCTGTTCAGTTTGAAGGTGTGAAAGGAGGTTTCTTTCGGCATATTTTGCCTGTTAATCTCCCCGACACAAGTGTATTCCTACGAGAAAAAGACAACCGTTGTACTGGAGCTGGGATCATATAGCCAAGGACTGGATGGAGCCCTTCTTATCGCTACAATGCGGAGTCAAGGAAGAATTCACACAGGAAAGTTATGCCCGATAAGGCAAAACCAAACTTGTTCTATCGCAACTGGCTTACTTCAGGAATGAAGGGTGGAAATTGAGGTCTCTACAATAGAGTGACGGCAACGCGTATATCTGCCCTTTCTGCAAGGAAGAATTCCGTGTCCCGTTCCAATGGGATTAGTACACGGAAGCAAGGACAACTTAATTAACTACAAGTTCTTTCGATAACAACCGAAACCTTGACTCCGACCTTGAAACCTTGACCTTGAAACCCTTAACTCTTACAGTGCCAGAGGCGATTAGGTCGACGCTACGATTTTTTTTTATTTATTATCAAAGTGCCAGAATCGAAGAGCTTGTATCAAAGGATTTAAAGTTATTTCGCCAGAGCGCTTGATTGAGTTAATCCTCTCACTTAAACCCTTCTATTGCTAGCTCTTTGACTCCAGCATTTTCAAACGAAATCCGTAGCTTAGATCTAATAGACTCTGACACTAAAAGGGTTAAAGCCATATATAGGAACATATTCGAGGGCGAATCAGTCTGGGAGAGCTTGGCAGCACTTCTTGGGAAGGCACTCCGCACAAGGGAGGAGACCATCGAAAGGGAAAATGAGATGTTCAAGATTGCATGAAAGTAGCCTCTAAAAAATTTCTTTCTTTCTTTCTCTCACCAAGTCAGAAAAAAAGCTATCTGACTCGGGACGGACTGAGGGACTTCCATGGGCTAATTCTAAATGAATCTGTGTGCGAAGAAAGATGGATTGTCGCGTTCTTGTTCATATAAAGCCGGAAAAAAAGTGACTCCTATAGAGGGTCCATATGAAACCTAAACGTGGTTGGAAAACTAAAAAAAAATTGCGTTTTATTTATTTAAATTGTGCTCTTGCTAAAAAACAACCTTTCTCATAAATCCATTATTCATAGCACGGAAAGCTGCCTGAAGCAGTCATTGCAAGAGGAACATAGCAGCAAAATCCTAATCGCTTGCCGTCAGGAAGCACTGAGTGCTGAAACACAAGACGCATCTAAGCCATTGCGAAGGGATATCAGCCACAAGTGTAAGGAGCTCTTTAACTTACGAACATTTACGAATATGAGAAAAATGACAGTCCAGCTAGTGGAAATGCGAGAACTTCCACATTCCAGAGAGGACGAACGCTAAGGATCTTGAAAACTTCTAGTTCATTCGTGATTCTATTTGCATTACCGATGAAGAAAAACAAATGTTTGCTTCCCTCCTTAGGGCTTCAGCTTTCACCTTGATTGCTGCATCGCATACAGATTCAATAGCAGTGTGCAGTTTACAACATATTCGTACAAGAACTAAAGTCCACTCGTGAAATTACGACTGCAATGAGGATCGAGATGACGACTAATTGCAAATAACGGGGGCGTCACACAATACAGCACGAGGGGTAAATAATAGGGTTTCCAATAAAATCTGAATTTCAGTTTCCTTGCCTTCAGGTTTTCATATTAATTTTGAGAATTATTTCCCTCAACAAAATTCGCACCTTAGGTTTTCATATTAATTTTGAGAATTATTTCCCTCAACAAAATTCGCACCTTCATCCATGAACCTTAACTTTATTAACTTCTTTTGTTTTCTTCACTTCCTTCTCGACGGGTACTTGATACATGTTTAAAATATTTTTCTGACTTCAACATACTTTGACAGAATCCCCGACTTCTCCCTGTCTTTTTTTGTTCCATTTCTATTTCCGCGGCCACTTCAGATTTTCCTCAGCTGATACCAACTCCAACGTAGTTCACTTAAAGAAGTTTGTCAGGGTGGAGACTTGGGAGAGAGTTTCGAAATTCAAGGAAAAGCAAGAGCCTAGGTGTGAAGCGAATTTCATATCGACGTAGTCTTTCGCTGAAGTACATTCGGCAAGGCCGGCCTAAGCTCAACAGTACGATGTTTTTTTCTTCCACTCAGGAGATATACGGGCGGCACTCCGGACTCTCTCCGACCCAATCGACGTAGTTTTTGTTATCGACAATGTTGATCGGAGTCTTCAGATACCGGAGTCCCTGGATGTTTTTATTTATTTTATGGCTGCCGTTGAATTACGATTGAATGGAAGTGAACTCACAAGTCGAAGACAAGGTAGTGAAAGTTCTCCTCTTGAATGCTGTCGTGCAGCCGAACTAGAAACAAACAGACAAAAAGGTTATGCATATTGTATGAGATCCTTCAATAGGACATGACATGACATGATCCATAATCCTATGACAACTAATCAGAGACTTCTTAAGCAACTTCACTCAAACTACTCATAGCCAAAAAAAAAGCAAAATTAACAGCCATATTTACGGAATCGGTACAAAAACTCCCAATAGCGTGCATGAAAAAAATCGTTTAAATTTTGAATGTGGAATGATTCCTAACGAGCGAATGACGAATATAAAGGCTAACTTTCACAAGCGGGAACTAGCGAGCAAAATTAAGTCGTTTTCTTGGGACTGGTTAGAGTTCCCGGCCTTCCCAAGTTTGGACATTTGATAACCCTTCAACAGCTGCCGTGAAGGAGCAGAATGAATCTGTCTGAGGTCATGACAACTATAGAAACCACGATGTTTTCATCATATGATCAACTGGCGTTCACTTAGACACAAGATCCATTCCCCCACACACACATACACACAAACAAGTTAAACTACGATGTATTGCAAAATTGTACCAACAAAGGTACAAATTTGCTTTTGTTTTTGCCCTGTTCTCAACTCACAATGACGAACAAAATCTCAGAAATACTGGGGGAGACAAAAAATACGCCGCTTCTTAAGAACATTTGTGGAGCCTCTGGAAGTGGTGAACAGGTAAAAATTGTAGGATGGTCAAAGGATGCATAGACACATATATGAAAGAAACGTTGTTGTGCCAGCTGCTCATCTCCAGCCGTTTTAGCACACGAGTGATTTTACAAAAGCAACTGGAATTTTATCTTTGCGCTCGCACCTGCCCCACTCACTGGGAAAAACAATTCTTTCCAATGGTTTTTTTCCTCTGCACTTCCGAATCCGCCAAGCAGATCTCTGACTCTTCGTTACGTATGGCAGTTAGCAGATGGGAATTTCGCATCCGTGGATCTGGAGAAATAAGGACTTCTTCCATATTAACGAAGTTTTCTTCAGTTTCAGCTAGTTTCAGTCTTCCGCTCCCACTCGTTCTTTCAGATGAACCGGTTTCTCGCAGCTTGTGAATTAGTCTCAACGATAGGCCTACATTTCTTTCATACCTTACCAGGAAATTCCTGCAAAATTCTTGCCCCACCCCATCCTTTCGCAAGGAGCAAAATTTTAATGAGCAGACGGAGAAGCTCTAGCCCGAGATTGATGCGCTCAACGTCCACCAACCACTTTCCTGTTGATACGTTTCTCAAACAAAAATATAGGTCGAGTTGCCTTCGCATTATCGCTCATGTGCTAAAATAGCGGGAGAAAAATTAAGCACTTTAGGCCTTTTAAAGGATACGTAGAAGTCGTTGTAAAAAAAAAAAAAACGAGTTGACGTGCTATCTCACGAACTCCGAGGAATGTCAAAGAGCGGCGCGTTATTTTTGCCTCACCCGATATATTATTCCCCGTCAAAATACCTCCTCTCGACAGCAACCCACTCACACAACATCTCTTGCCGCTTTTGAAACACACGACGGAAGCCATCCCAACATTTTCAATATACTCGTTTGGCAGTTCCGTTTCTCATCCAACTCGAAACGTCTTCTCTTGAGCTATTTCGCTTCTTAATAGAGGTACAAATCGGATGACCCAAGCTCTGGGAATGGCATGATATCGTTCCTCATCTTTCGAGTACTACCCGACAAACGAAACGTGCGGACTGTTGCATCGTCATGATGAAGGATCCAACCATTAACACTTGGAAAGCATGACTATATTAAGAACAGTCAAAATCTCTCTCTCTTTCATGATCTCTAAATCAAACGGGAGCGGGGATACGGGCTTTGAAAGTTGGCCCCATGGCAGAAAATGGCCTCAAGCCCACAGAGACTAACGTCTTTGCCTTTTGTTCTAGAGTGGTTCATCGGTTAAATTATAGCTAAAGGGGAATCAATGCATGGAAACTGATTTAATATTCATATAATTTTTTTTTAAATTAATGTAAAAATTGCAAAAGTTTCCAAATTATATACAGTCTTCCACATTGTATATATGCACGATAGAGGTTATCTTTCCACCATCCGATAGTGCTTTCTGGAGGCTTTCCTATGATTAATGCAGCCAAAATCGTAGGCAAAATTCAAATGCTTCTATCCCCCATTACACGTGGAGATAGAAGATACTAATTGAAGCTATTCTCAATATAATCCTCCTGCTTACAGAATTAAATTGAATTCTGTGATGGTGAGAATCCACAATACCCTCACAATTGCACACCTGAGATAGAACGTCTCAACAGCCTTGATATGCAATGATTACAGAAGTTTTCCCAAAACAGTTTCAGTTCAACAACTATCACCATATTCTCTTTGCATCTCACATTGTATTTACTTCACAGAGATTGCTGGTGCTGGTGCCGAAGAAAGTAGGAATGGCTGCCTTTGGTTATACTTCTACCATCTGAAGATAATGTAGACATCTAGAAATAACGGTGTAAGCGTATCATTTCCCTCGGATCTTAGCCAAACATGTCACTGGCGATGATGAAAAGTGATACGAGTCCTCCACATTGAGACCTGAGAAGAGTCTGCAAGTAGTGCGAGTGGTGGAGCACGAAGAGATGAGGGTGGGATTCTGTTCGGCGAAGCATGATGCATGACAGAAGCTCAAACACGGCCCACGCCCTCGCATGAATCACTTTCGTTCTCCTTTAGTACTGAATCCCTTTGCTAGACAGGAAGAAGGTAGGAATGGGCTGGAAGACGCGTGTTCTCCTCCTAGGTCCCTTCCTCTCCTTCTTCTTCATCTCCTTCCTCGTGTTCTCTCACATCCCACGCATCCAAAAACCTCCTGTCATCCACGTAAGGGTTCATGACGTCATCTTACATTAATTAATTAAGGGGTTCAGGACTCTCGGAAGTATCTCTTCTAGATATATGTCAAAGGATTCATGGCTTTTAGGCTATACAATTTAATTCGTAAAGAGCTAATCGGTTTCAGTTGTATAAAGTTCTCTAGCGGTTTTGGGCTTTCAGCCGCATCACTTTTCTTACTGTAAGCGTTCATGGCTCTCAATTGTGCATCAAGTTCTTTCAGGATCCATCACTCTCAATCATATGAAGTTATTTAACGTACACCCAGGGGTTATTCCCAGGGCTATTTACTGCTTTTATTAGGTTTGGGTAGTTATTCCAATTACTTTATTTGTATAAAGGGGCCTTTCATTATATTAACTGACCATTGTGCAAATGAAATTTTCATCATGATCGGGGAAAAATTAATGTGCTTTTAATGCCCAATCTATTTAGAGATTTCCACTGAAATTGCTGATAACGCTATACATTCACACCACAAATGGCAGAAATTCGACCTCCAAAATAAGTATCAACATTAGCTATCAGGATTTCTCTACTGGTCACCATTCATTCATCACATTACAGCATCAATGTCGTTACAATTTATCTTCATCAGAGTTGGAGGAAAGACTGCATCAATTAGCTTAATGATAACAGTGTGAACATATCCATTAGACATAATTACTTCACGCCTACCACCCTGCGGACGTCCAGTGCTGTTGGACAAGCACTGACGTATTCTGATAGATAAGAATGGGTAACACTGCCTCTTATACTGCATGATCCCCATGACCCCGAGTTACATCGAAGGCGCAAAAAAATATTAAGTGCCCATGGACACGAAACGATAGGCCGGTTGATGAGGGATATGGGGAGAATAATGGGGAACCCATTCAACAGGTGAAACCCGAAAGAAAAGGCATGGCTCTTGGCGGAAGGAAGAATGGGCGAGGGGAATCTATATAGTGGGTCATGCAGGGGTAGAGGAGGAGGATATAAAAGGAGAAGGGGGGGGGGGGGGGAGGCATCCAGGTCGGCCTCATATTGATCCTTCCCATCCGCTCCTCCCTCCTTCCTCCTGGGGAAACCCCCCGCTCTCCCTAATGCATCAACAAGTTGAGGAAAACATACATGAACAAGACGGAATCAGCTCGCGTCAAGTTGGAGGAAGCTGAAGCATGCATTCATACACAGGGTGTTCCGAAAGTTTTTGACCCACCCACACAAGATGTGGCTAAATGCTATGCCAGCTACAGTGAAAACATTCTGCTTATCTACACGGGCTGCACGAAGATCCGGGCGATCTGCTCAGACCAAGAAAAGGCTGTGCCGATGCGGGACGGAGGCCCATGCCTAGGAGGCATGCATCGTATTCCGCGCCATTCAAGAGAATATGGTACACGTCTAGAAGAATTTACTGAGGAACTGTCCGGACCTCAGCATCCGGAACACCTGTGGCACAGGTTCCAGTAGAGTGCTCTGCGTCGGCCCCACCCCATAAATCGGGCGTCAGTCTTTACCGGGGTCCTAAGTGGAGCGAGAACCAAACGTGACGAGCGTCATCGGTCGGTTGGTTGAGAGATTAGGGACGCTGATCCGAGGTTTCTTTGAGATCCGCGGAAATCATATCAAGTATCGATGTAGGAGTTGGTACCTTGGGTATTCTTGGCCGTGTGGAATGCACTTAAATCAATGTACCACATTTTTATTATGTACAGTACAACTGAATAGTCTTCCTCATGTATATAGGATGAGAGATGCTCTCTCAGTGAATTCAAGTTGACAAACTGTGACTTAAGTTTCTCAGTAAACCAATTCCACTTCAAGAAATCCAAACCAGTGCCAGATCTGTAGGGATTTCAAGCCAAATTCCACCATTGGAATTTTATTATTATGTAGCTAATTTTTTTGCAATTATTTCACACGTGTTCTATTACTTTTCCCTGTTTTTAATCCACTGCATAAATAACAACAAGGATTTCAATTACCATATATAAACACTAGTACAATAGCTGGGAATTCAAGCTTCTCCCAAAACTCTGTTCCTTGGCCTTCTTCCAACATGATGGGAAGTGGTTCAACATATGCCCAACAACTGAATTCAATGTTGCAGCCATGAAAAGCCCATCACACCATCTATATTTGTGTGATGAAATGAAAAAAATAACTGAAACTAAAGCTCAATTATATCATTTCCAATCCTCAGTGACAGATCCAACCAGATTGCTCCACTAATTGTGGCTTCTGAGCCTATCATGCTCTATAAACACTTTCTGTAACCCAATTAACTTCATTAATATTGATGTGTTCTATTATTTTCGTTTCTGGCAGAGGAAGCTGCATGCAGAGCATGTGAGACTTTCATATGGAAGAGATGAAGAGCCTTTAGGCATCTTCATGGTTTTTCCATACTTGCATATTTCACCAAACACTCTTGCCTTGTAAGTTTAATTCATCTTTGACTTCTACAGTTGAGCCTTCACAAATAAATTCCAACATATTAATTTCTCCCTTTGATGTCAGCTATGCCAACAGACTCGAGAGTATCACTGGGAATACTAAACGAAGCCTGAAGCTTTGGCTCATCTCAGGATCAGGAAGCAAGGGCATGATCGATGACATCATTGAAAAAGTTAAAATAACATCTACATGTGAATTTAATCATCAATGGATGGACATCCAGGCATTCGAAGGTGCTCTGAGTAAAAGTGTGTCAGATCTGGCAGAGGAGAAATTGGTTACCACTGAAGCTGTGGGAAGAATTGCAACACTTCTTCTCCCTTTGATTGCAAGCAGTCCTTTACTGGTCTATGTTCAAAGTGACATCCTCATGGAAGTTGACATTGGTGAGCTTTTGTGCCCATCTATGCTCCTGTAGGGTGTCACAGATGTCACACAGCAGCAAATAGATTCAAATTATGATAAATGGTGAAACTGAGCTCCAACAAAGGACAGAAAATTTATAAATAATCCAATACAACTTTATCAGCATCACCTAGTACTTCATTGATTCAAGTAAGTGTGTCTAAAATATGCTGCTTCAGGTGGAAAAGATAAAAACAAAAATACATAGTTTCTATGTTGTGTGATATTTGTGACACCCATTATATTCCTAAGCCATTACCTAGCCAATGATCCAAGAGTTATTTTTCTATGAGTAAGAATACCAAGAAGCATGGTATCATATAAAATCTTGAATGTGGTCAGGAATCAGTGTCCAAGCAGTTATAAAAGTACTTTCCAGTGCATGTTAGCTTATTCCATGCTGAAGTGAGAATAGTTCCAGGATTTAACTGCAAATGCAATCATGATTCCACATTGACAGATACCCTCTTGAAAAACTCCTTCATACAGAGTCCTCATTTCAGGGGAATGGGTGAAGAACAACTCGCAACCTCTCCTGGATGTAAACAAGGAAACCATCATAGGAGCAGCTCGAGAAGGTCCTGGAATCAATTTTGACCCTTCTCTTATTCTTTTCAATGTGCAAAAGATTCAGAAGAGCTCCATCTACAAAGACCTCATTCGAGGATGCTTACAAGGAGCAAGTGGAGGAAAAGGGAGTAGGGAAGATATTGGCACCATGCTGGGGATGTGGAACATTCATTTCCCAGAACTCATATACCAAGTGGAGAAAGCTTGGAATGAAAATGCATTTCTAGGATGGGAGTAACAGTAATTGACACTCATCTTGATGCTCACAAGATCTGTGATATAGGTCCACTTACTATGTCTCTATCTCAAGTGACTCTTATAGAGTCACTAGAGATAGAGACATAGTACATAAGACAGAGCCAACCTATGTGTTATAAAGCAGTGATGCATCTAAGATTTTTCCAGGGGGGATTATTCATGAAGTATTCACAAAGCAAGGGGTAACTACAGGGTGGGCCACTTAAAAGTAGCCCGCCTCCTATAATACTGCGACAGTATGAACAGTGTGCAAGGGGCGACCACCTCCGCCACGCTCGGACCAGAGGCGGGCTACTTTTAAGTGGCCCACCCTGTATAACCTCAATGGAGTGCACCTCAATCCCCAAAAAAAACCCTAATGTTAAAGTACACTGTATTTTGCTCCAATAGCTCCATAATCTACTCCTTTTTTGTGTGGCTGATTTGGCTTTTTTACTGCTTCTTTTGGAATAGCCCCTCAGTTCATACCTACATCAAAGAATGAAATGTGCTCGTGCATCAATAAGAGATTCACATATGAGGTATGATTTTGATGCATACCAATGGGAAATGAAAATTTCCTCATCTCAGGAAGCTGATTAACACAGCTATTCATTCAAGTACAAATGACCAAGAAGAGTATACTTTCTCTCAATCTAAAATATACTGCAATGGGTAACTGAAAAAAATTTCACATATTTTTGCTATTAGAGAAATGTTATCAATTCCATACAGGGCCATGTAATTGGCCTCATAATCTTGAATTATGTATGTTATTTGAGGTTTTTGTCCCATCAAGCCCCAAACGTAGACAATCAATAAAAAAAGTCTGTCTGACTTTAATGATTTTCTCTTGCATATTGCAACTGATTAAGCCAACTTCATTATAAATGTGTTGTCTGTTACTTGGAGGAAATAAAACTTTCCTTTCATTCCAAATGCTTTATATTTTCTCCAGCAAGTATGAAAAGCTCTTGAAAGTGGAAATCAATGGTAATGAACCAAAGGAGGCAACTGCCAATCGATTGATTCCCCAGGCAATTACACATCCCTGTGAGTAGTAGACAGCCTTATATCAAGAGCATTATCATAATAACATGCAGCCATTATGGAAATCAAGATTAATGAATGAATACTGGAATGAATTCCTCCTTCAAAATTGATTTCAGTCTGTCCTGAGTAAGCTTTCATCATGGAATGCCCATGAGATTATGTATAAGCTTTTCAGCTTCATTTCCATATCAATAATGGGCAGGGGGACAAGCATTAAAAATGCTTCAGACACTTCATAGTATGAGTATTATGAAGAAAAATAATTTCAAAATGAAATGTAGAAATTGAGCATGAAAGAACAGGGCAGAAAAAGGTGGGAAGATACAGATTAACCCTTTCAGACACAAAGATCTAATTGCAATTCAACTTCCTGGAAAAAGCTACACATTAAAATATTAAACACTTCAGGGAAAAAATATTATTTACATTAAAACACAAGTTATGAGATGGTTTCATACAGAAACCAATATGATGGAACCTCTACGATCCAAAATACACATACGGCCAGCTCTATTACTCAACCTTATACTAAATGGAGATCAAATTCTTCCTTTTTTTTTACTCCTCTACTATTGCTTATACTGCATTTCTTCATGTAGAGACCACCAAGAAATTAGATTTAAAAACATGATATTGTGGTTTCATAAAGAAACTACCTAGTTGATACGCAGTTACCTAGTAGAAAGGGTTAACTAAGTAACTAAATAAATGATACGTTGTTCTGCATCAAAATTATTTTAGTTATTCCATGCAGGTATAAAAAAAGGAAGCAATGTTGTAAATTTCACCCCAAGGAGAGGTCTTAATTTCTAACTCTAGCCTCTCATTTTTGGGCACTAACTCTCAAGTCTGTTCTCAAGCTCTTTGTCTAGGCTACTATCCACCTCGAGGCTATTATCAACATAGGTACTGTCCCTGATATTTGCTCTACTTCTGAAAAGGCTGCACTAGTCAAATTGATCACATTTAAGACAGTTTGAAAATAGGAAAACCTAAACACATAAAATACTAAGTCAAAATTAATTTGTAAACCTATGCTTTCAAGTTTTGGTAGTAATAATGAAATATACAACAACCTTCTGAAACACCTTGTTCATACCAAAAGGCAAGAATGAGACACTGGTCACACAATAAACCTAAGTGGTTTAGTTCCATGCATAACAATTAACAAACCTGAAGGATGGCAACATGTCAAAATAACTCATATCTTTCATGGCAAACCCAGTATAAAACCATACACTCACCTATATTTGGGTGCTGGAGCTTCCTACATATCCTGGCTTCTCTCTCCAATTTCTGGAAATCTAGAATCGTACAGGGGAACTATAAATCCACGGAAACATATATGCCTGCCATTATTTATTAGACCTGAAAGATTAATTAAAATATTGAATTCATGATCAAGTTCACAGTGTTGCACAAGTAAGTTGGAAGATAACATAAGTGGGAAAATCCTACCATCTAAGTCACATATCAAGTCAACACATTAAAAGTCCCATCAATGAACCCAAACCATAAATGAAAGTTGTGATTTATTTCATATAATTCAAATCAAATCATGACTTTACATAGTCCAGCTACTGTTCCAAAGAACAATGATGTCATGAGTGGAGAGAAATTAAGTTTTAGTTATTATTCATTCCCTTTAGCATGGTTCACTCACACTTTCCATGCAAAAATGGTGAGAAAGGATTATAAGACTCACCCCGGGCAGAGAGTTTCTTCGTGTTAATGATTTTCGCAGCAAACTCTAACCCAGTTGCCCGTTGAACACATCGCTTGACAACTGAAAAAGCACCCCTAAAAATATGGGAAGAGATACATTTTTGACAATTCAATCAGATGGACCATATCTTAATATGGCATAAGCCTGGTGTAAATTTATCTTGGAATATTTAATAATCTACAGGGAGTTATGTTCATCAAGATTCCTAATTCATAAAAAGACCATTCAAATTGAAATTCAGTAAGTGCTGGTTTTAGGCAGTAAATCCAAATCCAAAAGGGGAGCATAACATGATGTAAAAGGTGCTCTAAAGGAGGTCAAACAAATATGTAGAGATAGCATTTTTTCACAATCAGCTTCTTACTCATACCTACATGAAATTGCCTCAAACTAGCAATTATACCCCAGAAGAGATGCAACATAAATTTTACTAGGGTAATAAATTTCTATAAATGCCTCTTCTAGGTATTTTATGCTAATAGGATCATCATTATGGCATTTGATGCTATGCCAGATGTTTGAATTCATGTTTACTTCATACTGTTATTATATGAGAGCTGGGATCACATTTCATAAGGGGCGTCAGTGAAACCGTTAGCAAAAAGAATCTTCTAAAGAATGTGGGAGGCATTCAGTTAAACTTAAATACATATTCCCATACTTATAATGAATTTTAAAGGGCACAATTGCATGTGCAGTTCTCAAAAATGTTAATTGCATATGCAGTTTTAAAAAATGTCATCAGGATCAGGAAATTTACTGGCATTGAGTTTCTTGAGAAGTTTCTATACATCACCTGTAGATAGGATGGTCTTAAGCATATTGGAGTGCCAACTTTCGTGCCGAGTTAAAACAGAACTTAATTGAAACTTGATGGTTTGTTACTTCTCCAGAACAGACTATTACCCTAACATGGTCAAGTACAAACATCGACTACTGTGAACCTGACCGGCAGAACGTTAGGCCTTGACTTTCATAGGCCTCACGTTAGCGCTGAAGGTAAGCCAAAAGAGAAAAGCATAGAAAGACGATAAGAAGAACGATACTCACTTGCCCAGCTCCTCCTTTAACTCGTAGTTATCACTGAACTTCGTGGAGGCGTTGAACAATGACATAACGGAGAGAGAAAAAGGCCGGAACTTGGGATAACTATGTACAAAATATCACAGTGACTCCATCACGCTGCTCAATGTGTGGCCACGTGCTGCGCATGCTTCCCACCATATTGCTTTTTCGCGTCATCACTGACTTCCGTGAATTCTCCTTTCTGTTTTTACTCTCGTTCCTTCGGTCATCGAAGGCAGACGTAGCTAGAAAGTGTCCAGTTAATCTCATTATTCAATTTCATACTCTATTGTGAGGTTATTCATCTGCATAGCATCTTTTCGGAAAATGGGACCCTGCAACGTCCCGAGGCATTTCTGACACCTTGCGGACGGAAACGAACTTCTCGGTTTCACTTCGCTTCGCCAGGTGTCACGAAAGACAGATCGAAAAATCTCCGCCTCCAGGAAGTGACCTTCCATGAGTACCAGCAAATAGTCTCGGAGCCGTGGTGGATTGGTGCAGGTGTAGTGGATGGTGGGACAGAATGGAGTAACCCAGATTTCAACCAAACCATGTCTGACATCTATTGGTTATTTACTGAATCGTGACCCTCCCTTTCTCGGTTTCTAAGTTTTCTCCATGGCGGCGCCCCATAAAGTTGTTTGTAAACATTCCAGGTACCAAAAAAGATCGAATTTTCTCATTTTCCTTCGAGTGTTTGATTAGTGGGCACTAGAGGTGAAAATTTTCTCATAAGAAGCTGTTGTTTCATAGCCCTCCAATACTTATTAGTGATCAACTCATAGACACACGATGTTGTGTTTTGGTACCTTAAAAGTGTATTATTGGTCAGAAAATCCAGCTTTTGATTAAAATATTCTTGAACAAGCGACTAATTTCTTAAATGGCCATCACTCACAGCCTAAAATATGACATTAGTGGCCATCTCGTTGTTGTAGGGTGTGATTAGAGTCTGATCAGTGGCGTATCCAGGATTTCGTCAATTGGGAGGCTAAGGGGAACGTAGGGGGGCTAGAATTTCCCTTATCTCTCCTCGGGAGGGGGGGGGGGCAGATGCATCTACAACAGAGTAGGGGGGCTGAAGCCCCCCCCACTCGCTACGCCACTGGGTCCGAACGACGATGAAATGCCCGCAAAGAATAAGCCTCTGCTTTAAAAAAAAAATAATAATAATATTAATAAAATATAAAATAAAGCTTGAGAGAGAATTTAAACAACTCACGATTTTTGTTATAGAAACTAGCTATGCATGCATTTTTGGTCCTCACAGCCATACCACTACATGCTTTTCAAATTTTCTGGGGTATTGTTTTCAAACAAGCAATCATAAGCAATGAATTGCATGGTTTTATTATGGTAGCACTCAAGCTTGAAATTCTTATGAGATATTGCCATCATGCAGTTTCATTTCAGGACCGAGGATGAGTCTCAGAAACTTGCAGTCACAGACGAATGTCTCATAATTTCATAAGGGTGGACGGCTTTTCATGACTTTTTGTATATGTTCATTACATCTATTAGTTAATATTATTAAAATAAAATCATATTTTCGATGTGAATTGCATAAGAGAATATGCCAACCCAAGGCTACACGGCAAATGACGCATCAAATGAGAAAGACGAGGAAAGTTGAAGCTTGGCCAAATCATTTGCAGATTTCAAATTCGGCACATGTCTTGATTAGAAGAGGTAAATTGCACCTTGGTAGGCATACATTTACCCCATGGGCTTGGCACCTACTGCCTACCCTTCCACATATACTTATGTCTGATGGGACTCACCGCCTCTTATTCCAATTTCATACGTTAGCAATGAAGCTTGAACCTCATGACTCATGCAAATATCTCCAGCAGCATTATTTTTAAAATTTATTCATGCCCTAGATGAATATATTTGCATCGTAGGCTCCAGAGTTATGAAGACATTGATGTCCATAGGCGGCGATTCATAGGGGCTCGAGCCCCCCCAAATATTTGGCAGAAGAATAAGGAATACTACCTCTGAGCCCCTCTCCCCCAAATTTTGTCTCTGAGCCCCAAAATTTCTCAAAAAAATCGTGCCAATGTTGATGCCTCATAGATGTGAATTGCATGCAGCTCACCGACAGAAGCTGTCGGTTCAGATAGAGTACAGATAGGACTTCATCAACATAGGAATCACCGTTTGAAGGAGACATTTTCGGTCCGGATGTGCACTATCTGCTATAGCGAACCAGGAAATTAAGAAAATTTTCCTTTTTTTCGTCGATGGAAAACTCATCTCTCATCCACATGGATTTCGGCCGATTCCTTCACGGAACCGTGATGCGTGCAAGATTCCCGAGTCCACACACCACGTTTCCTCAGAGTGCCGGGGCTGGGCATCGACACCGTCGAGGAGATACAATAAGTTCCCGCATCTTTCCACACTGACTCTCACGAAATGAAAGATTTATGAAAATTGCATCTGTAACCGATGTAAAATCGGACAGGTTGGAAAGCCATTGAAAAGATAATCGGCAGCCGCGTCGTGAATCTCCTGGCACTACCACATGCAATTTCTCGAGGGTCCTTCCTTTTTTGAAAAGAAATTTCCCCATCGGAGGTCTAATCCACGACCGAAGAGCATGGGCCACGATCGATCGGCCCAAAAGCCCTTCGCCAGTTAATTAGGTCCCCTTGGCTGTACAACACAACCCAGGGATCATGCCATCTGGAGTCTGTTTCCGAGAAGACTTCGTTTTTAGCTACAAGTTAAAATTCAGAGACTGTACATGGTCCAGTCTTGTTATTCAGCAACGACCAAGACATGACCCAAGTAAGTCCCTCGATGGATCCGGATGAGAAGTGCGAATTGCATTCCATCGTCAGCAGACTTTAATGGTGAACGAGGCTCGAATGAAAAACTGACGGCGGGTGCGGGTCACCGAGCAATGTTGGCGGTACTAGAGCGCTTCCATTCAAGTAGCTCCTGCTGCGAAGCAAATCTTCACAACGCATTCGTGCGTCGTGAACGTTATTTCGCTACCTCAAGATGACGAGAAGCAAGTGGTTTCTGGAGTGTTTCGTCGAGTTGGCATCGTCGATCCCCAGGTGCGTACATCCCCATCACGGAGCAGAAGGAATATTGGCCTTCAGTTCCTCCCCTCGAGAGCTCATTTCGCCGATTAGAACCTACCGTTGTTATCACTCCAGAAGCAGAATGAGAGCGCTCTGTAACTGAAGGCATCGAGAGTGAAATGTGATCATTCTGCACATACATTGCTCGGGGAGTGGCCTTCCCAACGGGATATCCCGTTGGAAACTTAAAGCACTCGAGGAAAGAATGAACGTTCCCGTCGGTTACTCATGCCACTCTCGCTCTTTCACCTCAGAGGGTGTAGCCTTTCCCTTTTGCTTTAGCGTTGCTGTCACTATTTGGTTCAACGTTTTCAAGCGGAACTCTTATTTATCCACATGCTGCTCGTGGGTAATTGAGCGGGGACAAAAGAACCTCCTTAATCCTTCTTTCTTAACACGAGGGTGATGGGAGGGACTTCTCCAGAGCAAATGAGGGGAGGAGGGGGGGATAGGAACATAATTCTATTCTCCGGCAATCCAGGTTCCCCCCTCTGAGATGTCATAATCAACTTTTCCCTACTTATCAGAGAACCATTAATATTCGCTCATCCTCACTAAGAAGCAGGAGAAGCGGAAACCACATATGCCTCATGAAACGAGGGAAGTGGTCAGCGGTGGATTTCGTCAATGCCATTCTTCATACGGGATAAAAGTAATGGAGAGCGTGAACGCGTTCCCTCCAAAGTGCTGCTGGGTCGTATTCGGGTCCGTTCCTCGAGTGCCACACTTACTCGGCCAGGTAGGCTGAGTACTGGCTGTGAGTACCTGGACACACTCATTCGGCTGACGCGCCTCCTCGTACTCCTTTAACCTTGGACCAGAAAGCTTCAATGTTCTGGGTGTGGACGAGTGGATCATGGGGATTCACGAAATTCAAGCTATGATTTACTCGACTGCGATTGTAACTTATTTGAGCCGGTCTTCGATAACCTCGCCAACTATCGGTCACGATTGTGGGACCGAGTTCGATATCATGCTGCAACACTGTAGTCAAAGCTTATGCATTTTCTGATTTCTTTGATTTTCATCATTGATTTCTTTTCGAAACTCGCGTGCGGAAGGAGTGCTTGCTGTTCCTCTCGGTGCTCAACCCATCGAGTAGGACGAATTCTGCCACTTACTTACTTACGTCGACCGAAGCAGGCAGGACTTCACTTCCACTACGATGCCAGGACCATCAACCTGGACGGCAGTTTCCTCAGTTGACGAAGGACTTCTGGGATGTCTTTCGGTACAGACCAACCTCTGTATATGATCGAAGTTGGATACTTTAGTATCCAAGCTACCATAACCTCAAGGATTTGTTGGATTCTTGCTTCTCTTTGCGCAAAGAATGTACATCTCCTCGACCTTTCTTTTTTCCTGCAGGCTCGATTTTTGCACCGGAACGTTGGTTCCTTCTCTCGGCCATCACTTTTGGGCTTCGAGAGAGCACCGCATGAGACAATTCCTACAGCCACGAGGTGATGACGTTGCAGAAATGTCATGCTAACAATATAAAATAATAGTTTCATGGAATGCCACGACACAACACTTGAACCCCTTCCACTTCCCTGTCGCTTCGAAAGTACGGAGCGGAACTTTGTATATCAATCGAAAATGGAAATTGAACGGGGAGAACTGGATTGTCTGGGGTTAAGGAGTCTAATTCGTTGGTGTCTGCTGTTGGATCCACCCCTCTCCCTCCCCTTATCAGCAGGAGATAAGTGGGACAGATGCGATTTCATCTGCTCCCGCTGAAATACCTAAGAGCCTCACATCCTGTCTTAACCCGTAGATTTACGTCTGTGCCGAATTTCGTCGCATAATTTTTTGTTTCGTCTATCTTTCGGAATTGCAAAAGCAAGCAGATAGCAACTATCGATGCTTTTTGGCTTAACCAATGAATACTTTGATGCGAATCCCTTTTGACCTGTTTTGAGTACTGGACTACTAAGCCAAATTTCCTCACTCGACTACCCAGACTGTCGATACGGTTTGCCGCAGAATGGCCTTTGCCATGTCGGCATGTCATCACTAACGGCAGTCAAGCTCGGCCCGTCGGCACATCATC